CTTTCCCAGGTGCGAGAGTCTCTTAGGATTCTCTGAAATAAGCTTTGTGGCGACGTAGCTAGCTAGCACTATCCCCCATGTTACGCGGAGTCTGTCGCGCATTTCAGCTGCGAATTTCTGGACTACAGCGGATAAATCACCACCTCAATTACCACCACTTTTCGTACTGCAATCAATTCACTGCGTCGACGCCATGGACGTCCATGCAACAACTGACATCAGTGTCCATCCACTTACCCAGTCAACATTTGCATAGAATCAGCTCAAAATCGTTTCTTCTAGTCGATTCATTCTGGGATTTCTTGCTCGCCGCCCAGAAACTCCACTGACACATCATGTGTTTGGGTATGGCAAAAGGCCGCATTCGATCCCGGAGTTGTCATCTTGGGCCCCAACATTGGCCCCGTGCCCGTGGATGTCCGTCTCGCGTTTCAGCCTGACAGCGACGTGCACATGACCTTCGTGGTGGACGCCGCATGGGATGGCAGGCCACTGGCTTCGATGTCGCTCGTCGACGCGACATTCCGGCCACACGAATTCGACAGCCCCATGAGGGTGTTCATCACTCCGGAAAACGCAACCGGTGGGAGGTTCTACGTCAACGTGAAGTTCCAGTGCGTGCCCTCCGCCAATTGAGCATTGTCTAATATGCCATTCAAGAAAATTTGCGCGCAAGGGATGCTATGTGGGATTCGACTCCCATTTTCGAAATTGTGGACTTTCGTGGAGCATATGGACTGTCGGAACGTGATGTTTTGTAAAGTATCAGCTGAGTCTGTCCCAGCTCAATCGAATGGGAATAGAAACGGCGTGTCTGGGGAATAGTGACAGTGTCACGTTGAAGTTCGTTGGAGAGAAATTGCATACTTCGTGGCTACGTTATTTGCCTTCAAGAGCCCGATCACCCTTTGGAGAAGGTGGAGATTCTGTAATCATCAATATCAATCCAGGAATATTAGCTGGAAATTTTCCCCAGTTTGTAGCCTGGGATGAAGGACGGAGACGAATGTGCGTTTTGCGCAACGCATCGGGAAGCAGTGGTATTGTATATGCAAAATGGGTAGGTGGGCAAAGAGCGAAGCTCTGGCTCCCAACTGGTCATATGCGATGTGAGCCTAGCGACCAAAGTGCGTTCCCAACAATTTGGAAACTTGCATTCAGTCAATTTGACTATTTCAAATCATTTGATTTTCAACTGTGAGGATTTCCTTCATTGCACATGCGCAGGAGCAACGATTCTAGGTTCTCGGGCGTCTTGAAGTCTGTACGCATTGTCGATTCACGGCCCGCTAGCGGGGAGAGCCCATCGGCGCCAAGGGTCGTCGGCGACCTGCCTTTTCACGACTTCGACGACACCTCGCTCTTTTCAGACACAGTCACATGTGACTCCGGGGTAAGCAACAAATTTTTTTCTTCTCATTCCGATTTTGCCAGTCAGTGGCCGGTATCCTGCGACTGTGCAGAGCCCTTTCCTATGGAATTGTATACGCGACGTAATTTTTCGTGCTTTGGCACGTCACCATTTTGCCGAAGGGCTGTTGCGTGCATCACCTGAATACTCACTTTCTTTGCCTAATTCCAGGGCCCAACCGTGAGAGCTGCTTATGAATAAATATATTTTCAGTCCGTTCAAAAACCCCGCCATCCCTGCCGTTGGAATTGTCATGCCTGCTGTCACCGATGGCACCACCCGAGATGGAAAACAAGCGGGAAGGACTGCCAGCATAGAAAATTTCACGCGCTATGTGGTGCCAAAAAGCAGGATGTGGCGCCGGATGCTGTGTACAAGTACATTCCCGCAAGCGACACGGAATTGGAGGTCTCAACCTGCGGATCGGAGTACGACACGAAACTCATTCTATTCTCTCCCGGCGACCCGGCATCTGCGATTTGCAGCGATGACGACCACAATTGTCAATACAACAACGCAAACTCGAGGATCGCCGCCAGCCTGACGGTGAGCGGCGAACATTGCATACTGCTGCGGCTTAGGTTCTGCATCTCGATGTCCTGCCGGCGGGGCCAACGGCGGCGGCTTGACAGAGGCTGGTGGCATGGTTCGGCCCGTTGATTATGGCCTGCAGGCAGACTGAGCGGAGTTTGGAGCCGTCCTGGAAGAAGTACCAGGGCCCCTGAGACTTGAGTCTGGCACTGCTGTAATGACGCGCTTTCTTGCCGCGTTCAATGTTTTGCGTTTCGCACGCTCTTCTGCAGTGGATGTTACCTTATTCCTGAAATCCGATTTCAAATTGTCGAGGAGAAAAACCCAGCCCGGCTGACAAGGCCGTCGTCGAAAAGTTCGAAAAACGTAAACAAATGCCCCCCCTCCCCTTTTCCGGGCCTATTTGCCCATCCATTGTCGCAGCTGTCATCGCATTAGCCTGAATCGCATCTGGCCAGCCCCCGCTGGAGGGGCTACAAATCGAGTTTCTGGGCAGTTTTGTCCCAGATTTCGATTGCGGCGATGTATTCTGATGGAGGGGGGGCGGGCTGACTTCGCGAGCTGACGAACATTATCCTGCTGAACAGGGCGGCAAAACTTACTTTATAGTCGTGGACGGCTATCAAGGAGAGCAGGGCCTGTACAACCTTACGATGCAGCGAGTCACGGAGCTCTAAGATCTGCACCCTCTTTTGCAACTTGCAATTCTGCGGCCGGGCCACTGTGACAGAGAAATGCGGCGATTCGCCGTATTCAGGACATTCACCATAGTCATGACAGACAGACAAATGCGGTGATTCACCGTAGTCAAACGGCTGGAACAGTAAAACAGCGCTCCTCGGCCTGTATATGACTTGTCTTGCGAGGGGCCTATTTTTGTCCCCTATTTGGCCCGCATTTGATGGTTCAATCCTTGAATTACATTTTTCAAACAAACTTGACAAAATACAGCCATGGAACCTTACAGGCGATGTCGGTCTTAATTCCAAGCATTGGGTGGCATTGGTTGAAATTTGCAGCTCTGCTGGCAGCCCTTTTGGCCCATGCACCCGCATGCGTTTCATGCATTAGATCAAACCCACTCCAACCACTCGATACCACATGGAGTCAACGGCATGAACAGAATTCGGTGCCAGTCCCGCTCAAACTTTCAAAGCGAAGGACCTCATTTCGCCAAATCATGAATGCGCATCAAGTCATGACTTCATCAGCTGGGTCAGCAGGATCGCCCTCCATGATGCACCTGTGACAACCGTCTGTGGCCACCACGTTCAAAAATGCGGCCAACAGCAATTCCAATCCACCTGACTGGACTCAGCTGACGAACAGAACACTCACACCAGCGAGGAGCCAAGTCGCGGCCACCGGCACATGGGAACCCGCCGAGCTGCCACCTCGAGCCCGTGCGTGAACTTTAACGTGGCTTTAAAAACGAAAATCCAATGCGAAAATCAACATAGAAAGCACAAATTTGTGCTTTCTATGTCAATTTTCGCATTGGAAGAAAGGGCCATAGTTTCGGAGCTGGGTTGCATGGATGACAAAGGCAAGCGTGCTCACAACGAGAAAAAAATGTTCGCAAGGCCGTTGTGATGCTGTGGGTCAGGGTTGATTATTTCAATGGAAGGGCGGAAGAAGGGACAAATTGAAGAAATGCAGTGCTTCTGAGTGTTTATTTAGACGGAGGTTGGAAGGTAAGGCCTCCATTCTGCTGCTTGTTGGGATCGGATTGCAATGTTGTTTGCAACACTGCATAATGACCACCATTTCACTGTGTGGATCACTTATGCATTATAGAGTGCGACTTGTATGCACTTCAAGAATATTGTTTATATGCAAGGCATTGTGAATCTATAAAAGAAAAGAAATATGTTTTAGAATTCACAGAATTATTTCTCCTGTGATGGGACTTTTGTGAGCATCAATTTGATTGTTGTGGGAGATGCCATCTGATTCAGAATATGTTTATGAAGTGGGTTGCATTGTGGCGATGAGTGGGCATCTCTGAAGTGTCGTATGGCTGGTTCTTGATGGATGATGTTCGTTGCCATGTGAAAAAAAGAGTTCTGTGGGTGCAAACAGATTCGAATTGCTCGGTTGCGGGGGTCATTGCCACCATCGGCAAGGCTCTTCGTTGTGGGAAGTGTGAACAAATACGTGAGCCCCGGACGTTTTGTGTGTGGTGTGGCCTTGCGTCTGACCGTGTGCCAACCCGTTGAAGCATCGGCGATCGTGGATTCGCGCTTCCCGCGTGCACTCCAGAGGGGGCCGTTTGAATCGCATCAACGGCATTTCCTTGAAGAGATTGCTTTTGTTGTGCGTTTTGTTTGGCGTAGCAGAATGGATGAATGAATGTATCCTATCCTATACACGAAAGTACGACACATTGGTCAAGTCACGTGTCTCTGCCAAGCTCAGTCGTCAGACAGCGTCACTTTTTCCTGCGGCTTGCACAGGCCGCACAATAATCGTCTGTGGTGTTGTGTGTATCTGATGCAGATGCGAAGAGTGTATGTTCAGAAGTTGGGCCTTATTTCAAATAGTCTGACCTTTATGGAGTCAGCTCCAGTCTGACTGGCGCAACTTCAACACTGGCAAACGCTAGAACACATGGAGCCCCACATGAACACACATCGCTTTGTCTTTGAATGTGCTGACATCGGCTCACTTGCTGACAGGCATTTTTCGAATTGATGTTTCACTACCCACAACAGAGCTGCTGGCACAAGACTCATATCTCCACTGTAACAAAGAGAGCAGTGCCAGTACGCCCAATAGCGACGTGACGTTCTGGAATTAAAGAATACAAGAGAAAACAGCTGGGCTGCAGTGGTGCTCCCTCAGGCTGAACCAGGTGCAACGCCCGCTGCAGCTCACATACACACCAACTGTACAAATGTGCACATTGTTACGGACATCCCTGCTGCGGGAACATTGTGCTGCCTCACTGCACGCCTTCTTCAGCAACAATCCTATTACAAGACACCATGGTGGCCCCCACACCCAAACATCACACAGAGAGAACTGGACTGCATGCATCTGGGGTCAGCCCCGCTGCTCACAGCTTCTGAATTATAACAGCATTCACAAGACCTGCCGCCTCTATCGTCTCGCTGTCATCCATGAGTGGCCTGGATGGAAACGCTGTCATCAACGAATATGCCACAGGGAAATCAGGCCTGGAGGCTGCTATGAACCTCCTGATGTCCCGCACTGTGTGTGAGTGGTTGAACCTTGCGACCATTCTCGATCCGTCGTGAAGCCGGACCTGAAGCGAGGTCACTGGCTTGGACTCATCTGGGCCTTCCCATTCCCCACCCGGCTTCACTCCAGATGGCCCCGAAGCTGGAGGTGGCTGTTGGGAGCTGGATGCTCCACCGGACAGGGTCTGGCCCTCACCAGCAAAAGCAACGTATTTTGGCTTTTCCGGTGGGGTGTAGTCCACTTCCTTCCTTATCAAGTTGACGTTCACAGGCTGCCCTTCAACAACCTCAAGCTCGCGTGGGCACTCACCCCTTGCCAGGGAGGCCACGAACTCTTTGTTGGATGGATCGGAGATCGAGCGGGGCTCGCCATCGTTGACAGTGAAGATCTGCAGCACAGCATGGATGCCAAGTCAAAATGATTGGAAGGGCGACAAAAAGGACATTGTGTGCTTCTCTTCGTTTGCACAATTTTCCCAGCCAACACCTTTGCACACAGGCTGCAAGAGGCTGAAATCGCCCTCGTGGTCAACCAATTGAGTTTCCACAACACCAGCACTGCTGTGACACACTCTCCTGTGCTGTGTCTTCTCTGCCTAGACGCTCAACATTTCCGCACTGAGCAGCCTGCCTCTTCCTCCTCAGTTTTGCAAGCCCTTCCCCAATAGATACCACCAAGCCTGCACCTGGCTGTCCTTTCCAGCTTGCCAACATCCAAGGGAGCCCAGAAAGCCCAAGTTGTGCTCGCCAGGCGTCTGCATAGCTGGGCCATTCTGGCAAGCATCAGCAGGCCCCAAGTACAGGGACCCAGGGAATGAACGCCTGTTTCACCGTGGTACTTTGGCTGTTCTCAAACCTACGTTTTGTGACACCTCGACAAGCCCTGCCACCAAATCGAGCCCTGGAGAGGACATGCCACAGGGCTCCCCATCCCAGAGCTCCCGCCCTCCAAACTTTCAGCCACAGCGCGATGCGATCCCCGTTGGCGCACACAACGCCGGCCCCATTCAGCCACGCGCCGCACCTAGCGCGAATCCGCGGTGATCCACCGTCGCAGGGCCGGGCCACCACCCTCCCCGGCTTGACGCTCAATGGAAGCTGCTTGACAACGCAGCAACAAAACCAACAGGAGCAACAACAGTTCCCCTGTCCGGGGCCCCCCGCCACAGGCGGCAAGCAACCAGCTCGCGTCAATCCCCACCCCGGCAGCAACGCCAGTGGCTCACCCCGTTGGCGTAGAACGTGATCGTGTGCGCCACCGTCTCCTCCCTGGCGTCGGGGGCCGTGTGGCTGTCGCCGCCCGTCAGCGTGCGCGCTCTGCCAGTGAACGCCCTCACGCCGCCGGCCCCCTCGGGCCGGATGTCCTCCTGCGTGCCCGCCACCGCGCCGTGCCGCTTGGCGCTGTCGAACAGCCCCTCCACCCTGTCCCGCCCCTTGTCCCGGCCCCTCCCCTTCACCGTGGTCCCGCTCTTCTCCCCGCCGGTGTAGTACTCGTTGTGGTCGTCGTCGTCCCCGTCCCCGGACCCCTCATCATCCTCGCTGCCCCCGTTCTCCTCCGCGTAGTCGAACAGCCCTCGGACATTGCCCCCTGCGGGTTGGTACGCCGATCTCGCGGGCCCCGACTTGGCCGCCGGCATGCCTTGCCCCTTGCCATGATCTTCGGCCATCGGCTCCGGTTGATCATCGGCAGGCGGGGCGGGGATCGGGGCATGAGTCGTGGCGTCGCCCTCCGAGAAGAATCGATCCACGGCGGACTGCAGGTCGCCGTTGCAGGAGTCGAGGAAGAAGGCCGCCGTGGGCGCGTCGGCGCCGGTGATGGCCGTGAACTCGGCGATGCCGTCGCCACCGTCGCCTGACATGGCTGACGCAGGGTGAGGAGGGCGGCGGGGCGGGGACGGGGGCCGGTGGGGGGGCGTGGAGTTCGGGGGGGAAGCGGGGCGAAGGGGGGCGCCTCGCTGGAGAACAATCGGGAAAGGATGGGATGGTGGGCTCCGTTTGCCTCATTGTCGATTGCTTCCTATTTGTTCAGGGAATAGTTCCATTTCTCAAGTGAGAATGACGTCTGCCTAATCAGGCGCTGAGACAGACCGACGCACGTCAATGCGCAGTGCGGCACAACGCACTGCGGCAAGTTGCTCCTGGTCCACAAGCGACGGCTGCCGCACTCGCGTAAGTGCTCTGTTTCGAGCAACGAACGTCACCCACCTGCCCACCCTAGACTTACCGGTCTTGCAACCCTCCGTCTTGTGGTGTCCGGGCCTGAGCCCTCTTCTCTTGCCTCCCGGGGTGTGTCAGCGTTGAGTAATCTCCTCGGCGCCCTGATGGCCGGAGGGGAACTCGCCCCAGCATCATTCACAAATTGTTCTAAAAGAAGCAATGTACGTATTCATGGGTGCTCCATATCCGGCTTCGTTTATCTTTTTTACCTGCTTACTCTACATTTCTTCCTGTTCGGGGCGCCAATTCATTCCCGAATTTTATGCGTTCATTAGTTCGCTTTTGGGGACAATCGGGGCAAATGATTCTTGCGCCCAAGATAAATTGAGAAATGGCCTTGAATAGTTGAGTATTGGGTGTGGAAGCTTGTTTGCCGCGGTGTTGTCGTTGGCGTGGTCTTGTGGTTGGTGGTGGACAGGGACAGAATGGTCAGCATGCATGGTGTCCCCTTTTCAAAAGTTGCCATGCGCTTCCACGACAAATGGGCTCGAACTGAACAGCAGACTAGGAAACTACATCAAAGTTGTCATTTGAGAGCTGGAAACGAGGCACAGTCTTGGAAGAAGTTGTTGGGGTTGTTGCCGCGCCAGCCCCAATGATCTCCTATTTTCCATGCCAACGCAAACGTGATTTTGGTGTAACGCAAGGAGCTATGGGTATTCCCTTGCCTCGATATGAATTCTTGTAGATTGATTGGCTGTTTGGAGATGGCACCGTTGTCACCCAATGTGTGCCACCTGCAGTCCACCCCAATCAACAGGTGCTGCTTCCATCAACGCAGCATATCAGGCATGGGGGCAGTGACTGTGGGCGATTCCCTTGCAAGTATAGCCAAGTGTGAATTGCAAACAAACAGCAGCGCCGAGATGGCTCTTCAACATGTCCGAGAGCGTTCCCTCTTGGACTGGATGCCACTGCGTCAAAACACAAACTGAAGGCAACCGCTTGTCATGTGTTGTGATTGCCAACAGCGCCTCGCGTCACCCAACTACATGAACGTGGACTAGAAACTGGAGGCCAGCCTTCAGCAAGCCATCCGCACCTAGGAGTGGTGAGGAATGACGATGCAGGGGACAAGGAGTGGAACTGGAACACGTGCTGCACAAGGGTTGTGCTAATGTCTGGGGCACAGCGACGTCAATGCCATCTAGTCACCAGCGTCAGTGCAGCCATGCCTACCAGGCACTGTTGCACCCAATCCACGCTGGCATTTCCATGGGTGGTCTGCCAGCGGCGTTGAAGTGCAGTTGTTAGCTTTTCAGATGTTCTGCACGTGCTCACCGCGATGAAGAAGCCAACAGAACTTGACATCGACTGCTCTGTGCATGGTCACTGAGGAAGAGATTCATCCAAGCAATTTTCCATAGGTGCGAGGCAGCATTCACAGAAACAAAACACTGGGACACCACGATGCTCAAAAAGCGACTGGGCCTACTGTGGGTGCCAGGGAAGGCAGCTATCAAAGGCCACTATCAAAGCCCCCAAGACATGTGACACTGAGCCAGAAAGCAATCCTGTGCCTGCAACACGCTGAACCTAACCAAGTTGTGGTTTAGTGCAGCATGGCGTTTGCAAACACCAGGGCACAACAAATCCTGCAACCTTGGGTCTGCATGTCAGAAGCCAGGACAGGGTCGCTTCACAACAGTCTGGAGAGCGGCCGGAAAGGTTTCTGTGGTCGTTCATGTTGCACCGCTTTTGACACCAGCAAGCAGCAAGTGCCTCTGCCAGAGCTTCGACAGTGCTGAGAAGAATGGCAGCTGGAGAGCCACGCATATGCGTGAAACAGTCACACTTATCCCAGAGAAAGACGCAAGCGCCCATGCATGTACCCAGTTGTGACCTGTGTCCATTGCATCAATGGCAGTCGAAGCAATGCAAAAGCTGAAAGCAGAGGGCATGTGCCGCTGCACTGGCACAAGATGGGGAATGCAGTTCTGCCAGCATGCACCTTTGCAAGCAACTCATGCCGAACACCGCTTTCACAGCATGTGTGATCAAGACAGTGTGACACCACAACAGCAATTTGAAAGTGGTCATCGGCAACAAATCTGGTCATCTGACAGAAGCATTCAGATTGAAATACGACTGAAGCATTGCTACCGATTCCCATCGTGTGCCAATGCCGGAGCAGATTCAAAAACAACATCATGCACAGCGCCCTCCACTCCCTTGCACTGGGTCAAAATGCAACTGCAAGACATCCCATCAATATTCTACAATCTACCAAGGAGTGCCTTCCTATCTATTTGCTGCCAATGGAGGCTGACAATCCAAGCTGTTTTACCCCAGCTCAGCACTCAGTCGTGGGCTGCCACGCTGCAAGGCAAGGCAGCGCACCAGAGCTGTGGGCATCAAAGCAGGCATTGCAACCAGGCAGGCTTTGAAGGGCATCACAGCTCCTTGGTGAAGGCCAGGGTCTGTGCTCCTCACTGCTTCTTTGGTGGTTTGCTGGGGAACTTTCCATTCGTCTCGCTCGCTGGACAGAGGTGCTTCCGGCCCTTGGCCCGCCGCCTCCTTATCACGTTGCGGCCGCCAGGAGTGCGCATCCTTGTCCTAATGAATTGAGTCCATACACAATGTCCCATTTCAATAACGCAGCATTGACACAGATGCAGCGAGGAATTGTACGAATCTATGCTGCCATGATGTGCAAAGGGTTAAAGGTAGAATACAGGAACACGAGGAGCGCAGGATAACACAGACGGAAGCATGCAGTCCAGCTTCACACTGCAAAATTGACAGTCATGCTGCTGCATGGAAACATACTCGACAATGCTGCAACGATACGCACAAGGACCATAAACAGACCGCAGCAACAGGATCACAGGACACGAAGGCCGACAACTGCACAGCCTTTGGGCATGCAGTTTGTCCACGCCATACCTCTTCCACAACCACGCCCATGATCCCCGGATTCCACCAGCTCCAGTGCCCACGGCACGCACCTTCCCCCCCCCCACCGCCGGCCCCTCCCCCGCTCACCGGAACCCGGAGTTGCGCCTCCTCTTCCTGTTCGTCCCCCCCGTCGTGTTGCCCAGGCACCTCTTCCCTGCGCGCACCACCAGCGCCAGCCCCCGCCCGCCGGTGCCCGCATCCCTCGCCTTCCCGCTCAAACTCATCCCCGAGAACGCGGCACACAGGGGCGCCTCGGAGCGATCCATCGACGGCAAAAATGACGAAGTCAGGGAGAGGCGCCCGGAGGGGGCATGGTGATGGGCGATGGGCTTGGTGGCGATCGGCCGCCGCAGGGCGGCCAGGGGCGCGGGGGAGGACGATGCCGACAGCCTGCGGGAGGTGAAGGCGCTGCGGCCGGCGAGTGCGGCGTTGGGCTTTGCCGACTGCATGGCGGGAGCCCCGGGGGTGAGGCTGGGCGGTGGGCGGGTGGGGCAGGGACGGGAAACACAGCCACAGGCAGTGGGAGTGCGCTGCGCCCACAGGACTGGATTGGGCGAGGGCGCACAGTCATTAGGGCTGGGCCTGGTCGAAGCGAATACGCTAACTACCCCAGTTAGGGCGACGTGGAACGGCGACTACAAGGTCGCGAGGTTCTTTTGGTGACCGGCGGGTGTGTGCATTTTCGACGAACTGAGCGTTGCTTTGCTGTGATGCAGCCGGTCGGTGGAAAAGGGCACAGCATGGGGTATCTGTGACGAAGAATTGATGCTAAAAAGCAGTGGGAATTGTTGGCAGTTTTGGCAATGGTGGAACTTCTCCCCAGCGATAAATTTCACGCATTTTGTGGGGATCAATGCCAGCGGTGACAGCAGACCACGAAAATGAACGTCCTCACGAAGTACTGTTCTGTGAACAGCATGTTCAGCACAATACAAAGGCCAGTTCCTGCAGATGGACCACCCCTTCAATCGCTTCGCCCGGCTCCACTGCGCCTATCCTGAGCATAACGCTTTTCATGATCCATCGACCGGAGCAATGGCTGTGACAGCGCCGCAGCCTGGAGGGTGCGCCGTGCGAGGCGCCGGAAAATGGATTGTATGGCTTGTCCTCTGTGGGTGCGGGACCCGTTCACAGCAGCATTTCTCAATGTTGCCGTTTCTTGGGCGCGAAATGAAGGCGGATAGCGGGCAGTGAACAGCGCCAGTGGGATGACGGCGGTCCCAGGCCACATTGTCCACGGTCTCTTGTGCACCTCTTCTGCGTCTGCGGAGAAGCGTGCACTGGATTGCAAGGCTGGAACAGGCCTTGATGAATCCGTCACGTTTCCGCGGAGGCCGCGGCCATCCAATCGTGTGTTTGATCTGGTCGGATTTGCATCCGGCCAGCACCCGCGCACACAGCGGGACACTGAAATGGCTGCACCAGCCACCGGCGCCTTGCCTCTGGAAAACGCACGACACGAGCCGCGTGTCAAGCTCCCCACCTCGCCTCATCGCGACTTGGCTTCCTCCCGTCGTTTAGAGCCCCAATGAAGCCGGCGAGGCAACAGGGACAAAGGGCAAAGGGGCCATCATGGCCCTCACTGGAATCTAGTCCACCTGCTTTGCGGGGCAGCTAGTGTAGACACTCCTTGGACTCAAGCCCCGCCTTCGCGCCCTGGTGCCCGTTCGTGGCTGTTGTCGATCAGCAGTCGCGCAACAGGGACAGGCATAGTCGAAAACGGGCATTGAACGCCGTTGCAGATTGGGACCTCCGGGGGGTTCCTGTGGTAACTTCTCGGCAGAGTTGATGTTGGTGAGGACCATCCGGCGTTCACAGCCTGACGTTTCCAGCCTATCGGGGTAGCATGAGCGCGGCGCTCGCTCCTCGATAGCTGCCAAGGCAGTTGTAGAAAGGCGCAAAGAGATGGTAACGGTGGCCGTTCGGGGTGTGTGAAGACCTGTGGACAGTGAGGGCGTTGGAGGTTGAACCGCGGCTGCGACAATCCGAGGCGAAAATCGAAGAGCTCGGAAGCCCAGAAGCAGGTCACGCTGCCACACGAGTGTCGGAAGCCCAGCCCCGCAGAGGGGTCCTCTTGGGGCCATTTCGTACACATTGAAACTCCGAACCACCAACGAAAAATGCCCAGCCCATCCGCCGCATGTCTTTAGGCTTTTCTGAAGCGTGGTGATACGCATTGGTCTCTCCAAAACCGCGACATGCAAGTTGTATTGGGAATGCGCATCGGCTGATGGCCCGCGTGTTCGCATTTCTTTTGGGTTTTGTGAGTTGGCGGCGTCGCCCGCTGTCCGCGGCAAATTTGCGCGTGCGCTGTTTGTGTGAAGCTGCGACTCCACTGTCGAGGTCACTTCCGAAGAAAAGCCCCGCACCGGCGCGGGGGGAGCGTCCCGCCAAACCCCAATCGTGTGGTCGCACGCGCAGGAAAACCGCGCGGATCCGGCGCCGACTCCGAGGTAGACGACATCACCGCAAACCCGGCTTCAGAGCCATCCCTCCGACGCCTTAACGTGCCCGCACTCAGGTCGCTGCGCCCCGTTGTCGGTCGCCCTCAACCGAACCGCCAGCTCAGATTTTCACTGCGCTGTGGCGGGGGCGGGACTGCTTCTTGTCGATTTCTCCAACCAGAGGCGCGCACCCGCCGCTGCGCACGCAAACTTCCCATCTTCAGTACGGCCGAACATTACGTAACCCTCCCCCTTGGCCCCGACAGACCACTCCCCAGCCACGGCTGCGTGGCGTCCAGTACGCGCCCCAGTGCCCCGCCTTCTCATCCATCCATCGGTCATGGCCGTTCGCGCACCGCCCCATCGTCAAAATCAAGCCAGTCTCGCCGGGCGGCGCGGACGGGTGCGCCGTGTGTGCCCTTTGCCGCACACACGCTGAGCGCGCCGTGGCGTGCGCCGGCCAGCAGCGAAAGACCCCTCGCTGGCAAGTCCTCCCGTTGGCCTTCTGAGCGAGCCCAGCCCGCTTGAGGCCCCTTGGTGGTGCTCCTCCCCGGTGGAAAGAAAGGGGGCGGCGGCCCGGCGCCCCGCTGCTCTCTCGCCGGGAGATCGCTAAAAGCGGACCGCGGCGGGCCGGCCTAGGAGCCCCCCGCGGCGGGGAACGCTCGGGAGGCCGCGATCCGCCGCGGCTCGGGTCCCTGTCAGCATGACGAGGTGGGGACATGGCTGCGAAATGCGCCCGCCCGCGATGGCCTGGTGGCCGATTGTCCGGCTGCATTGCTAGAAGTGCGGCGCAGGTGTTGGGCGCGCCGCGCTTGGCCGTCCTGTGGGCGGCGTCATTTGATGAGGCGACCGCCTGCGATAGTCTCTAGGGTTGCTCGAGACGGAAGAATGCGTCCGCGCTGCTGGGCGGCTTGGGAAGGAGGAGAGGGGAAGGCGATGATCGCCTGTCGGCGACGGACCGGTCCGAAAAGGACGGTGCTTGGTCGGGCCCAGAGAACGGATGCAGCTCGGGCGTGCATCGGGCGCCGCGCCTTGCGGGCCCCGGCTGCTGCGACTCCGGGGCGCGGGGGGGGGAAAGCTTGCGAAGTGTGACGGATTGGTCGCGGTGGGGGGGCCCGCCTGGCTGGTGGCCTCGAAAGCTGCCGAACGGGCACGGCGCCGGTGGTTTGATCCGTGGCTCGCAGCGGCGGAAGGGAGCGCCGGGAGGCGGACCATGGAAACCGGGCAAGCGCGGAGGTGATCGACAAGGGGCGGCTGCCGTAGCCGTTCCGGCGGCCGTCGCGGTGCTCACCTGGCTCTCGCGATCGTCGGGGCAGGGGCCGCGACTCGCGGCGGGCCCTGTCGGCGGCCGCGTGCCGTCGGCGTCTTCTGTTGCCGTTTGTGGTCGTTTGAGATGTGCGTGGTTTTGCGGGTGATGTGGTTGGCTTGGGGTGGGCGGTGTCTGCGTTATGTCTTTTCAGCGGCTCGCCGCAGCGTGCGGGTTCCCGCCGTAGCGTACCCCGGTGAAATTCCTGCGCCTCGCCCGCTCTCCTTGGGAATGGATCCAGCTGGTGGTTCTCCCTGTGCGCCGGCATTTGCTTGGCCCCTGCTTTGGGCGATGTGTCGTTCGTTCGGCCCGCCTCGCGCTGTTCGGGCCCGTGGCGGACGTGCGCCGGGGCGTACGGCCGGCCGACCGAGGGCCGGTTCGTCGAAAGTTCGCACCGCCGGCTCCCCGTCGGCACTTCGCGGGTTCCGGTCGGGCCGTGTACTTCCTTAGTTACGTGGCCGGTCGCCCCCTTTTTGGCCGCGGGCCGCGATCGACTTCGGGGCTGCGGCCCAGGGCGCGTCGCTAGCGGTGGCGCTGCCCAGGTCTGCGCGTTCCTTTTCCTTCGCCTGTCGGCCTGTGAGATGCTCTTCAAGCGACAGCTCTGCTCTCCGGATGTGGTTCCTTGTCCGCGGGCCCGATTTCTTTACTCCGAGCCACGGGAGCCGCGCGGGCGAATTTGACACCCAAGCTTTGCGCGCTGCATCAGGTTCCCCCTCCCGTGCCCGAACGAACACTCAAGAAGCAAGAACGGTTGAGGGGGTCAACCCCACGAAGCCAAGTACGCAACGCACCTCATTCCGAACTTTACGTCTCCAGCGCGTGCTGGCGAACCGCTTCAAGGACTCCGTCGCTGGCGCGAGGGCCATGGTTTGGTTTCAGAGGAGGTCGTCCATGGCCGTCAAGGCGCGGCCCTCCACCTTTGACGCGTTTGTCGGGCGGCGCTCGTCTTCCTTTGACACGATCGCCGTCCTGCCTGGCAACATGCCCATGGAGTCCCCCGCCGTCGTGGAGGAGGTCGCCCCTGGGCTGAGCGACCCGGCGGGGGACAGAACACAGGCCCAGTGTCCCAGGTGTGCACACCCGGTGGTCCTTGTTCGGTGAAAGGAATGTCATGGGCATAGGCGTTGCGCCCACTGAACAACAGTTTCATTGGGGATCTTGTCCATGGTGAAGTGAAGAAGACTGATGAACCTGCTGGGTGTGAAGTGGAGTGAATGCAGAGCTGGACGGAAAGCTGTAGAACGTGCACTCGGAGGGGCCTGCGTGAGCAGAACCCTTTGAAGCCATGGAAGAGTCCATTGCTGGCATCACACTGGCCAGGCACACAAATGTGGCAAAAGGCATCGTCTGCTTGGGTTGATGCAGTTGCGGGACGATGGATGCAGTTTCAGTTTATGTTGCCAGTTCTATGTGCGGCGAATCGTGCTGAAGGTCAGACCTTGCTGCCGTACATGCCATCAGCATGCATATGGACTTGTTTGTGCACTCTTCTGGAATCGCTCTTTCCCTACTGAACTTTGACAAAAAATTAATGTGGGATTGCTCAGGTAGATGCTTGCTCAGAGTGCATTCGCCCAAAGGGGGAATGGAAATGCTGCACTTGGGACTTTCAAAGACGATGGCAGTGTTGCATGTTCACAGTTTTTGCTCGCGAACAGCTGCTCATTACAACCCACTGTATGGCATTGCTGTGCTTGGAATAAGTTGTGTTGTTGGATCAGAGCTAACTTGAAGTTTATGATTTGTGTGCAGACGCAGTAGGGGTCGATTCTTCGGGTTGAGGCTGAGGCTGCCGCGGTTTGGGTCAAAAGATGATGGCAAACGCACTGGCCCTCCAGCGATTTCTGCCACGAGTGGAGGTTGGCGCCACTGCCAAACAGCATCAGATTTTTCAGACGATGTACGCTTTTGGGATTGAGAGATTGGAGTCTCTGGGAGTGCCTGTGCAATTCGCCAGAACACTTGAGAATGCACAGTATCTGGACTGTGTGCTGTTGATGCTCTTCCCTAAGATGAACTCGAAGGTTGCTAATTCAACACCTGTCACATGTCCTATTATTGCAGCAGTGTCAGGTGTGGGTTCGTCATAGTCATTCTGGGTGCCCTATGTGCAGTGCTTGAGATCATGCTGCGAACACTGACTGTGGACACATTGGCACGTCTTGGTTTTGAACTGTCATGTTACTGGTGCAGGAGGGGGGAAGGGCACAGCGCCTAGCGGAAGCTCGAGCGCGCCTATTGGGACAATGCAAACCTGCTCCCAGCAGCCCCCTGTCTGCAGACTCTGCTGTTTCCCAACGTCCCAGTCGGGCAGCTGCCTTTCCTGTTCCCCGCTATCCAGTGTCCCGCAGCAACAGTGACAGACCGCATGGGTACATCCGCAATGCGCGTTCGCTGGATGCTCCCAACTCCCAGGGGTCGGGAGACCAGTTTGGGATTGCGCATCGGGGTCCAAAGGCGCCCAACCTTGTGACTGTAGCTGAGAGTCAGGGAGATCAGGCCAGCCCAGCAGGCAAGACCAAAGAAAAATGGACAGAGCGTGCCTCACGACAGATTTCCAGCGTGGCAAGCCGGTTCAGGAGAAAGGTTGAGCGGCGGCACAAGGCAGGCGAAGGGGAGCGGGCTGACCTGGACAGGCGACAGTCCATTGGTGCTGCCATGGGCCGAAACTGCGATGCCTATGACACCCCAGGACCTGAAGGGCCCAGATGTCCACCCGACAACTTGTTCATTCCGTCGGGACCTCCAGACAGCGTCTACATTCCTGCTGGGGACGATTCTCAGAGCCTAACAATGTCGATGGACTCTGCGACACAGCTGCCGATGATGGCTATCGATCCACGGACGGGCACGGCTGCGCCTGTGTATGCCAGCGGTTGGTCATACGAGAATGGCTATGTGTTGTCTTCCCCGCTGGCCATATGGAACGATGAAACCACAGTCGACGAGCAGGGTGATGCGACTGGGGCCGCAGAGGGCATAAAGGGTGCAGATCTCAACCAAAGTCGGAGCAATGGTGACGTTTGCCAATCCGAAAGAGCGTTGGAGGGCGACTGCAGCGGTACTGTTGATCCCGATGTGGGGGAGACGATGCTGGACGGTCAAGCTGTTCAGAGGAGAAAAGGACTGGATGTCTCCAGGTCAGGGCAGCAGCGTCCACCTGGGCAGTCTCCAGCCAGGAGGGCACCTGCAGAGTGGGAATACGAGTCAGGCCCTCACACGACCTGCGTCCTCAGCAATGAGGAGGGCAGTGCCAGCACGCCTAGCAGGTCGCGCAAGCCTGGTAGGATGGAAACGATGGCAAAGAAGATTTTTGGTGATTCATCTTGCAAGGAATTCACTACCCAGCTCTGCCCCTCAGTCGATGGTGCTGACTCTTGCACGCCCTCCATTGTATCTGAGTGCGCCTTTGAACCCAAGCCCACGCTCCGGCTGCAGACGGCTCTGTCTGAAGGTAGCCAGGAAGCGAGTCCGCACGCTGTGTTCTCAGAGCTGAAACCTCAGCTTCCTGCACTGCGCGTGCCTAGCAGATGCAGCACAGAGATGCCACTTCCTCCCGACGACGACGTGATGGTCGACTCGCTGGACTGTTGGAACAAGTTTGTGTGGGA